CCCCCAGGAAGAACAGCAAAAGAAATGACAACAACACCAGTACCACCACCACTAAAACCACAGCAGCAGCAACAACAACGACAAAAACTAAAACAAAAACACAACAACGACAACAACAAGAGCCACAAAAACAACAATTAAAAAAACAACAACAGCAACAACAGCGACAACCACAAACCATAATTACCATTGCCACCTATAACAACAAACCAACAAACAACAAAAGCAGAATTTAAAAAACCCATTACAACAGCCATCAGCATCAGCAGCACCATCACTACGTCCACCATAAAAAACCACAACAACAGTAACAACATTAACAACACCCATTCCATCCACCATCACCACTACCATTACCACCAACAGAAATAACAAGAAAAAACAAGCAAGAGCAACAGCAGCAGCAGCACCACCAACAACAACAGCAGCAGCAAAACAGCACCACAATCACCCCCAACAACAGCAACAACAACAACAACAGCAGCAGCAGCAACAACAGCAAAAATGCCACCACCATCACCACCAACAATAGCAACAACAACAACAGCAACAACAACAACAACATCAACAGCAGCAGCAGCAGCAACAACAGCAAAAACGCAACCACCAACACCAACAACATCACCACCACCACCACTACAACCACCACCACCACCAACAACAGCGACAACAACAGCAGCAACAACAACAGCAGCAGCAATAGCAACAACAACAGCAGCAGCAGCACCACCACCACCAACAGCAACAACAATAAGACTAACCAGCTGGCGGGGTCATGCAAGGGTCACCCCCGCTGACCGGTGGAGACTGACCAGCGGAAGTATTAGCGCTCATAGTCACATGGTAACTCCAGTAATCCCTGACCTTTGACACTGTCACAGAACTGTTCTGGTAATCTGGAAAGACAGATTTTCTTTTACGCGCAAAGTAGTAACAATGGGTAGACCCAGAGCAATCTACTTGGAGAGCCTAAAAAAGGATAGGTGAAGAGGAAAGATGATGACAATGCAGATTTTCTGAGGGCATCCTATCAAAGAAATGAATGGAGAATCGTGATCGACGATGTCTGTCGCAGATCTGGCACTTGATGATACATGAAAAAAATGAGTACATATGTGTATAGAATATATTATTATCATAAATAAATACATATTTATCCAAAAATAAAATCTAAAAAAACAGAAAAAATAGAGAAAAATAGAGAAAAGAGAAAAGAAAGAGAGAAATCAAGCAATTTACCATTGATGTTTAAATCTGCAATAGGTTTAGTTCCCCTCTCTCCGACCCTATTCTCAGAGACAGTCACGTGGTAGGTGGTTGGTCCAGCCAGGGGTATAGGTGGTCTCCACTTGACCCTCAATTGCCCTCGTTCGGGGTACTCGCAGACAATTTCCGTAGGTGGATTTGGAACTGAGGAAGACAGCCCAGACACAACACAATGTCGTCACGCTCATTAGATAATTACCTCAGTCATTTTTGGCCGGTTTGGAGTTTTTATTTCTGAAATGAAGAGCATAGCCAGCTTGGCAATAATAATATAATTCACTTAGGCAAAAAAAATAATCCAAATATAAAATAAGTTGAGTGTACCAACATTCAAGTATTCCACAGAGTCAATTGTTCAAGAGAAACAGTTGGGTTTTTTCCTAATTTTTTCTTCAGAATGGCTAAAAATTATTTAAGAATTTATTTTATGAGCGTAACGGTGTGTCACGACACATTGGAATCAAGCGATCATCAGGTTTGGGGCATACGGCGTTTTAAATCCTGTTCATTTACCTTGCTTTTGATGAAAAAATACACCCATCTATCTTGAACAGAAGTCGATAGTTTTGCGATAGAAGGAGGGGGTGTTGCTTGACTTCAGAGGTAAAATTCACGAGAAAATGCCCGCCAAAGTTTGGTGACTTCCAAAGCTTGTGTATTCTTGGAAACTGCAAATGTATATCTTTTGTCTGTTTGATCAGCGTTTTTCAGCAAAATCCACACAGAAATGCATTTTCAAATGGATATAACCTTTCCCCCAACCCCATTCCTCAATAAAAAACAAAACAAAATCATGATAAGATTTGCCCCGTGAGCGGAGAAATGTCGGTTTCTTCGATTTCATTTGTTTGACGGGCGCTGGATTTCATCATGATGCCACACTTGTGTATTTTTGTATGGTCTGAATGTGAAACTCAGGGATGAAATTACACATGGATTTGTCAAATTTACAAAAATAGATTCATAATTAGTGCGTGAGAAATTTGACACAAACAGACACTAGCACAACATACATAAACTCTCTCTCTCTCTCTCTCTCTCTC